CCCTTTTCGTCGCCTTCTTCTTTCGCTTCCCCCCTGCCCCCGCCGTCGTCGTCGGGTGGGCGGAAGGAGGGGTCCGTCGCGGCGTTGGTGCGGGATCTTTGCAGGGGGTGGGCGGCGTCGGTGAAGAGATGGCGAAGCGACGCGCATCTCGAGCCTTTGATGCAATTTCTACGCACCATTCCCGCCACCTTGCCGGAGGCGCGGAAGTGGTACGTCGGGCAGATGGCGGCCTTTTTCGCGTATTTGACCTCTCGCCCGAAAGGTTCCCCGGAAGGGGGGGCGGTATTCCCCAAACAGGTTATGCTGGAGGCGTTTTACAGGACTTTTTTTACCCTAACTACTGAGGAAGTGGGCGGTGAAGGTGGGTTGGCAAACCCCAAAGCGCAGGAGGACGGCCCTCATTCATCCACGTCATTAGAGAATCAGGGTTCATGGGTTGATCTGTTGAAAAGCCATGCTAGGACTAAATCGGGTGCGCACCTGAATGAGGCGCTTCAGGTGTCTGATAGAGAATACCAGACGTTACTACCCCTTCTTCTCCTGAGTAACTGCTCGCGTGCGCTCTTTGTTACCCCCTCAGACTCCCCAGCGAGTTCTTCCGCGGTAAGCAGTCCAGAACATGATGCTCAAGGGGACTCTAGCCAGATTATTTTAAGCAAAATATGGTCCACTCTTTGGGTTGCACTTACCGATGAGGTCTGCATTCGATTTTTGGAGGAAGATCGCACTATTGTCCATTTGTTGCTCGGGGTAATGTGCCATTACCCCGCCACCGATTTATTTCGCGAACTCCAAATTAAAATGGCATCATCAAACACCCGCGATCAACATTTTTTATCACGTGTGCTGACATTTTGCATATGCCATTACTCTAATAGCTTTCTCACCTGGTTGACCTCGCGGCGCGGTTCACTTGAAAAAGAAAAATTTCCAACAGGAGGAAGTAATGGGATAAGTCAGGCTCGAGATCTCAAGGATGATATCATGGGTGAGGAACAACTGGTTTACAATGATATGAAGGCATGCATAGGCGCAGTGAATCATTTGGACTGCATAATGCAAACATTGATTTTGCCTTGGGTGATGAAACAGACTGTGGAGCCACAAGAAATCTCGAACTCTAGTTCAGAATACAGTGTTAGTCAACGACTGTATTTTAGTGCAATGGATGCATGGGGTTTGCTAACCTTAGCGAATCTTTTGGATAAAGAACTAGTGGGGAAGGCGTGGTCCACATGTGCGGTGTACACCTATGATCCACTGAACAAGCTAGCGGATTGGTATCGACATGAAACTCAGAGGATCGACCATGAGAAAGTGGAGGCCTCCGCGTTGCCCAGCCATGATGCTGCCGTGAAAGAAGAATGCATTCAGTTGAAGAGGTACATGACTATGATTTGCATCCAGATTCATTCGAATGCTCTCGAATATTTATATACCTCCCATAATAACAGCCGAGCTCTTCTTTTGAATTGGTTTGCGTGTTACCTCCGACCTTTGATTGAACTCGCTAACGCGGTGTGTGCATCCCCGAAGAGTGGGGCGACCTATCGTTACGTGGAGGCGTTTGAGTGTGCTCGATTACTGTGTAAGGCTGCCATAATTGCTGCTAAATATTTTAGAAATGCATCATATCCAAATAAAAAAAGCGGCGTCACTGAGCCTCGGTTCCAAAAACCGGTGTCTACCTCATTGGGAGGAGATTTAGGGCCTGTTGTGAATAGCCAAGCTTCCGAAGGAGCGTTCGCTGGATTCCTGGAGCAGCTCCCTCTCGCGGATCGTGAAGCATTGCCGAATTTCGCGTTAGGTTGCGTTCGATTCAAACGATCATTGGAGATCCAGTCAATTGGTGTGCGTTTGCTTTCTCTGCTGATCTCGGAAGCACCAGAAGTACTTGCCGCTACCAGAAGTGACGGGGATAACAACCTTCTCGTAACAACTGCGTTGGCATTACGCGAATTCGCTTTTATTCATCCAGACAAACAGACAAGGGAACTTGCAGAGCTCGCACTGAATACCTTTTCAAGCTGGGAAACTTTGTAAGGCGTCCTTTTGCACTGGTTATGCTATTAAGACGTTCGTGGAAGTGCAGTTGTATTTTCACCCATCTGTGCTGTTTACTTAGCTTTACTTTATCCTCTCCAGGATAAAGTACAAGGCTATACATATTAGGAATCACTTCTGATCTCCTCCTTTTGGCCTCTAAAATCGTAAACCTTGTCCTTTTGCTACCCTCTCTGAGGACTTTAAAGATTGCGAGAGGAAAAAGTACGCATACCCTTAGCTTTCATGTTCTAGGTTCCCGAATATTCTAAATTGCTCCCTATTATTTACTCCATAATATTGAAAAACGTATTCTGATGCTGATATCAAGAGATAGAGGTGGGTGGCGGTGGAAGGGGGCTATCGCCGACCGTATCATTGCATTCGCTTTTTCTTCCAAAGGGTTACAACGAAGTCTTGGAGGAACGGTTGAGCTTGTTATGGTTGACATTCTACATCCCTTTAACACTTCTTCATCTTCCTCTTGGGGTTGAATACCGTTTATTTGTTTCACTGATTATCAAATGAGAGAGGTATCTTTGAATGAAACTTTTCTATACCACGGTGTGTAAGCATAACTTTAGGCATTTCTTTGTCCCTAATTTTGTTTTTCTATTTCAAACATACAACACTTCATTACTTTTTTTTTTTATTAGACGTTTCAAGAAATCATCCCCACCAAACTAAAATCTTGGGAGAAAGTGTGTGGGTTCTATTCAATTGAATCTATATGAGCTGATTCAATGCACATCTGGTATGTGTTACGGAGCTCCCTAAAATCTAAAGTGGACTTGCAAAAAACACTTCTTGGTGGGCAATGCTTTCGTTGGTTCCCAACTGCGTGGAATAGCTATGTGGGCACCGTGCATCACCGTGTGTATGAGCTGCGTTATGTAATGGGCACAACAACGATCGAAGTGGATTTTAGCAACAGCAATCACCATTTCAATGCGTTGACAAAAGGCGCATGCAAGATTGGAAATGAAGGAGGTTGGATTGAGTATCGAAGGCTCTACCCGTTAACCGCTCAGTCAAAATCCGATGGTAGGAAAGTGAAGAGAAGTACTCGATCAAGCCTGAAAAAGGAACCCTCAAGTACTCCAAACGGAAAGGAAATGATGTTTAACGACGAGGATGAAGAGTTTCTGTTATACTATTTGTCTCTCGACGTGGATATGCCTGCTCTTTGGAGCAGGTGGACGAGCAGGAATCCCATGAAGGATCATCCCCTTGTTTCTTACCTCATTTCATCTACCGTTGGGGCGTTGAATTCTTCAGAGCCGGGCAACAGTAGCCGTGACATTGAAAAGATAAAGAAGAAGAGGGCGAAGCTATCGCCAAGCGCCGATCTGATGCCCGCTAGCCTTGACCTCCCCGTGCGAGTCTTACGCCAGGATCTTCACGAGACGCTCTTTTCTTTCCTATGCTCACAAAACAACCATATCAAACGCATCACGGCGATGGTTGACGCGCTCTGCACTAACTACGGTGCATATTTGTGTAGTTTTAATACCGTTACAGGGGAGGTGTGCGGTGGGAAGCAGCGACCTCGCGATGCATCTCAGAGCTCTGATAAGGATAAGAACAGAGGATGTTGGCTGCATTTGTACAGCTTTCCAACAATTGAGCAACTCCATCGGGCGAGTGAGGAACAGCTCCGCGAGTTGGGGTTGGGTTACCGCAGTAAGTACATTATCGAGGCCTCGCGACAGATTCGATCGGCGGCCCACACCCCCACCCCACCGCCTTCCTCAACGAAATCCGCCACATTGTGTGCTGTGAAAAGGGAATCCACTTCCAAAGTCGGCGTATTTGCTTCTCATTTGCAAACTACACTGGATGAGCCCTTTTATCAGCGTTTGCTTTCTCTTCCGGAGTGCGCGGCGCAACGGGTGGAATTGATGACGCTCAGAGGCGTCGGACGAAAGGTCGCCGACTGCACTCTTCTCTTTGGAGTGGGGCATATGGGGCTCGTTCCGGTGGATACCCATATGATGCAGATCGCCGCGGAATACCTGGCGCCGTCGGAGCCAACTTTGGGAGATGAAACACCAAGCTGGATGCGGGTGCTTTCAGAATGGCGTCTGCAGATCAATCAAAGCGCGAAGCCCACTGGACGAAAAAGATCCAGGGAGGAGGAAAAACAAGTGAAAAATATAAAGACGGTCGCGCTGCTTCCGAAGCATCACGACGCTATTCAGGAGGGCTTTCAGGCACTTTTCGGGCCCTACAGCGGATGGGCTCATAGCGCCTTATTCTATGTGCGTATCCAATGAGGCCGTTTGAAATCAGGAATTTTTAGCGTTTTCGGTGGGTGAATCACACACTCACAGACGAAATGATAAAACTGAAGACTAGGGTGCATTCTGTGGTAGCTATTTCTGTTTGCGCGTTGTCGACGAGGGAAACTGATCGAGATTACTAGGCTTTACGGGATCTTATTAATATCAAACAAATGTCACACGAACTCATTCTTCCTTTCTAATCTTGGAAATTAATTTCCGACATTATCATTTCTTAGATTCTTCACTACTATTTGTATTATTGCAGTTACTAATGGATCATTTTTCCCGATTTATCTACTTTGAGTTCAAGTCACTTTTACTTTGTGATTTCTCTTGGCTTAAGTTGTCCTCTAGACTGCGGGCAATGCTCTTATAACTAAGTTACACGATCATTTTTTTTTTAAACATTATGTTGACGGATTAAAAGGAATTGAAATAAAGGAAAATATAGTGAAAATGAGTTCATTATGTTTTTCATTCACTTCTCCTTTGTAATATATCAGAGAACCATAGTTCCAAATTCAAAAAAAAATTCCTAATTACGAAAACACGATCGGGTATAGTGTGTTCTACGATTGAATTACTGAAGGCTTTCGAATGTTGAGAAAGCATATTTGTCACGTACTTAATCTCATTTTTTCGGAGAGGGAGCATTTCCACTCTTTCGTTAGATATCTTTATGCAATTGCATAGCATGAGACCATAGAAGCAACATTAAGCACGCAACTTCAATGACAGATGAAGAGAACACCTACGATTTGCTACGTTTTGTAGCCCTTTCAACAAGTGTGCATGCCGACGCGGTTCAATGCGCGGTCGATGATTTGCAAAAGGTGGTTCACCAGAAGCACAGCGAAGAGGCGCTTTTGAAAGTCTACGAAAAGGAGCTCAACGAGTTAAGTGAGCAAAGTAAAAAGCTTCATGTGATGCATCGCTTAGTAACCGTATCCCGTGAGGAGCGTCAGAAAGGGAAACCGTTGCGAGCGGCGGGATCGGAGGTCTCATATGGGGGGTCGGATAAAAAACATATTCAGAGCACGAGACGCCCCAAAGGAGTGCATCCGGATACGCGATGCCGCCCGAAACCACGCCTTGCTCGCCCGACAGGCGAGGTGACGCCTTTTAAACCGGGCGCCGACGATTCCACACCGACCATCCCGGCCGAATCCGAATCGATCGCGCAAACCACGCTCGCCCTCGATGCCCAACTTGCGCACCTCAAGCAACGGATGGCGGAGCTCGACGCGATGTCGATTCACACCAAACTGACGACGTTGGAATCGCTGAAGCGGCAGGCAAGCGAGGTCGACGCGGCAGCGATCCTGCAACGCCACGTTTCCGCCTTTGAGTTTCCGCCAGAGGTAAGGCGTCTTTGGGGGGAAAAGGCGGCCGCGTCGTCGTTCCCCGCCGCCAAGCCGACGCGGCAGACCCCCTCGATTCGAAAAAAGAACAACCTAGGCGATTTCGCGCCCGAGGATTCGAATCCCGTGGTGAATCTTCATACGATTGATCCGTTAATCGATCGAGCATGCCGTCGTTTGAATGCGCGCTACCAACACATCCTCGACGTCCTCGCGACGAGCGGGGAGACCCTTGAGGACGACGCCCAACGCCTGCTTGAGCATCTTTTGTACGCCGAGAAGCTGGAAAGCCCCGATAACGACGACGTCGCCGCCGTGCAAACGTTACAGGGGCTTCCACTCGAGGCTTTCACCGCGCACGATGCGCGGGAGCGTTCACGTTTCTCCGCGGAAGCCCAGCTCGCGGAGCGTTGCCTTGGCAGACCTCAGACGGTGTTGTCAAGGTTAAGCTACTGCGCGCTGCCGATGGCGTGGGAGACGACGCGGCGGCTCAGCGAGACGCCTTTGGAGTCCTTCCTTCCGCCCGCGCGGCATATCCTGACGCCTCGTTTTTCATTCACGAACCTATCGGAGCTGAATCGGCTAGATCGGCTTCGCGTGCATGCCCAACGACTCTTCCTCATCCCCCTTCTAGGGAACCGGCAGTTGGTGGAGGACATGCTCCATCACGAGGGAGGCGCCCTCCCGATAGAGCTAAAGGAAAAGGCCATTCTCGACGTACGCGCGGCCATAGCCGACGCTATGGCATCCCAAGAAAAGCCACCCGCGTGGATCACCACCGTTGCCATTCAGCCCGAGCAGCTTGAGTGAAGACACATGCAGGGATAGCTTGGATGAGGTTGGGAACGTCGAAGCGGGATCTGGACTAAAAAAAAAGAATATTACCCTTTGTTCTTGCATCTAATCAGTAATTTGTGTTTTTTACAGCTAAATTGAATGATATATTCATTGACAGAGCAACATCTCCTACTTTCCATGCCATTTTGGCTTTTTCTGTCTTACCTTTTAGTATTTAGGAACCTTTTTTTTTGATCTTCCAACACTAAGCATCCCGAAATTTATATTTAAGTGTAATTTATTGGACTAGACGCGCCCCTGTTTTACACATCACTGTGAATCAATCTTTGAGTTAATTCGCATATTTGGAACCAAAGGTAGCTACATAAACAAAAAATCAACGATATTACGTCTTCCACTTTATTATTATCTTGATTTGTTTACTAATATATTATTTTAATTTCTCTTGCTGTACCACACCAAGTATATTATTATTATTATTTTTGTTGTTAATTTATTTTTAGTCTCAGCTCAATTTGGAGGACTCTCCTATTTTGAGAGTCTTGCTTACTTCAAGTACAATTGATATATGAAGGGTCACCATGTATCCAAACACAACGATAGAAACCTCACCAAATGCCTTCTATCAATAAAGCTGGGCTTTTTCTTTTTCATTTTTTTATGGTGCAGTGTGATGATGGTAGGCCTGGGCGCCGCACACTCTACAATGATGGACGATGTTCACACTGCCCACAAGGCCGTCGCGACTCACTACAGCTTCCACCCCCGCAGCATGTGCTTTTTTCTTCATGAAAACGGTTTCTTGTCCGCACGTGATCTTGCCAATGGCGATCTAATCTGGATGACAGACACCCACGGCACCGCAGTGGATACGAAATTCGACGCAACCCCATCGAGCCATACCATCTTAAATGATCCCTTTGCCTTGCCATTTATTGTCAAGGGAAACCGTCTTTTCACACGAATCCCAAATCATCACAAACATAGCTCCCCATCTTTCCAATCAACGAAAGATGGGATGCCAAATATGCCAACAGATGCGTCATACAACGGTGATGCAAATCGTTCAAAAGGAGCGCCACGATTGGATAGCTATTCAGATGAGGATGGCATCGACGAATATTTCTTTATGAATATCTCCACCCTTTTGCGTCGCTCCCCGATAATAGTGAATGGGACGGATATCTACGTCACCACGTCCTTCACTATTGCTGACATAGATATTAACACCGGTGATTACTTTTTAATCTCATCCTCGGACCCCAGATTCGACAACAAGTTCGCTCACGGCTCGCAAGGATTCTTCTCCAAGTTTGGGAACGGCATCCCTTCGAAACGGCATTCCACTCCGTCTGAAGACCAACCCACGAGGGACGGGGAGGCGGTTGGGAGGGGGAAATTTAGGTACGTCCCTGCTAATCCCCCACTCCCTCGCAACCCCTTCTTACCGATGTTGCACATGGTTCGCTATAATATTCACATCCACGCGTACAAGCTGGGCGCCTACAAGTGGTCCACCACCTTAACGCAAGTCCGATTTACCGAACGCAGCCTTTCCCACATTTCGGGGAGCCCTTCCGAGGAGCACAACCCGCGGTTTCTTTCGCATATGATTCAGGATCTTTTTCAGTCGGGCGACAGCCTCGAGAGAAAATGTGGCGACACGCAGATCCTGCAGATGAAAGAAACCCCTCTGACGAACGAAAAACCGATGCGCATGGGCGATGCTACGGATAACCGAGGTGGCGCGAACCTAAGCGGCGATTTTTTTCAACCCCTTCCGACCTCATCGGCCGGAACCGGAAAGCTGCTCAGCCAAATCGCCTTTCGGGAAGTCAACGCCACCCACGTTGCGCTGTGGAATCGCCGGGGTCGGGTGGATTCCTGGCAAGCCAAGATCCTTTCCCAACCCACTCCCGACCTCGATCACGTGAGGATCGGAAGGGAAGGGGAGAGGGAGGGGTTGCCTGTAACTCTCTCCGCGGACCTCTCACCAAGGGTGGCGGCCCCTCCGAAGATGGGGTATCGCATCGTCAGCGCGTACCTGTGGATTCGTGGGCAACATACGATCCATCGGACAACGTTGCTGCGATCCTGCGAGCTGCCCGCGACTCCTCTCAGCCACCCTCGCGCAGCCCTGGGCCGCTCGTTGGAATCTTATCCCCGCCAGGGTCATCTTCTCGGGGTTCGGCCTCATCGAGAAGGGGGAATCTCCTCCGAGGCCTACACGGTCTGGGGAGACGACGTCAACGCGGAAATGGTCGAGGGCGAGGATCTCGAGAACTACTACAACCACACGATGGCGTGGTATAATGAGATCTTCTTCCCGTCCGCCAAAAATCAGCTCTCGGAGGCTTCCCGGAAGATCTCAAATGGGATGGTGATTTGGGTGACCTGGCGGATCGTCGTGGCGCTTTCGTTTCACGTCGCGTGTTTCGCGTGTTCGATCGGCTTCTTCTGCGCGGGCGTTCCACCACGCGGTCGGCTGCAGCGGGCGTGGGCGCAGGCCGATCGGAATCGCACCGCCGGGCCGATTTCGCACCCCCCTTCGACGAGGTTAACCGCGCAGGACCTCGTGGCGTTGCCCTCCCTCGTCGACCCCGTATGGAAAGAAAGCTCGTCGACGAGGAATCCCTCGTTAGGGTCCTCCGCGAGGCTGCGGCTGCGGAATCCGATAGGCCTCCCTCGCTCACTGCACCCGTCGGATAGCCTGATGAGCGATGAAAGCTCCTGCGGGGGTTCCTCCGCGGCGCGAAACGCCCCCCACGGCAGCTTCCCCGGTGAGAATCCGAAATCCCCGGAGAGGCATGCGGGGCCGCTGTTGAGGCTGACCCCGCTCGCCTCCAGCACGCAATCCGCGCGGGTGATTGGGAAATCGAAGATCACGAAACAAAGCGATAACCTCGACGGCTACGAGGAAGGGAATACGATCAGCAGTAGCAGCAGCGATGACGGGTTGGCGGATCTGCAGGTTTACCTCGAGCGCGCCCGCATCCACACGCCCTCCCTCCGGACGACCTTAAGCCACTCCATCACCGACTCCGCCGGGGGGAGTATTCTGGATCCTTTACAAACGGGTAACCGGGACGAGAACTCGTCGTCGTTGGAGGGGCGATTATTTCAAGAGCATTTTAATATTCTGGAGAAGATCGGCCACGGCGCGGAGGGCTCCGTCTTTCGCGTGGAGCATCGCTGGACGCACACGTTATACGCGATCAAGGCGATTCAGGTAGATGCGCAGGGGCAGGATCGGGTCGTGCGCGAGGCGGTGCTGCACAGCTCGTTTGATCACCACAACGTCGTGCGCTTCTTTTTTTGCTGGATCGAGGACGTCCCGCTCGCCATCGCGAACGAGCTGCAGTTGCTGGATCACGACGATGGGATGGATACCATCTCAATCACGAACTCGGATGATCAATCCGCGCAGAGCGCCCTTGAGGATCCGGGCACCCCTCGTGGGGGACCGCAGCTCTCGCAGACCTATCGAATGCTTTTCATCCAGATGGAGTACTTCCCGCGCGGGACGTTGGCGGATGTGCTGCGATCCAGGTGCGGCTTCCGGCGGCTGGATAACCTGCGCTACATGAAAAATATCGCCGAGGGGCTTTCCTACCTGCACAACGCGCAGAACGTCGTCCATCGGGATCTCAAACCCACCAACATCTTCGTCTCCAAGGATGAGGTTCTGAAAATTGGCGACTTCGGACTTGCCATGCGGCGCGATCCGGCCTCCAACGGGGCCGCGGGGTGCCCGACGGGCCTCTCCACCGGCGGAGTCGCCATGAATCACGAAAGGTCCATCGCGGCCGGTAGCCCGCTCTACTGCAGCCCTGAACAGATGCGTGGGGATGCCGTGAACAAACCATCGGATCTTTTCTCCCTCGGCATCATCGCGGTAGAGATGTACTCCTTGTTTAACACGCAGCACGAGCGCATCCAAGTCCTAACCAAGGCCCGTCAAGGCATCCTACCGGATGAGCTCATTGCGAATTACCCGGAGGAGGCCAAGCTTTTCATGGAGATGCTCAAAGAGAGCCCTTCACAGCGGCCACCAATACGGAAAGTCATAAAAATTCTTAAAAAAATATTGTATGATGCGGAAGAAGAAAGTGATGGGTACGACCAGGACTTCATCACCGCTGATGTCTCTCTCGTCTACTTGAACTCCTTTGAACCTCAAAGCAGAGTCGTTGAAGCGTAGGCTTTTAAAAAACGTCGGCACATTTAAAGGGGGAAGTTTTTATACCTCAGAGTGTTCTTTCCATCACAAGCTCCATCGATTTCTTGAAAACGTTTCGGTGCTACGAGGTATATGAACAGAGTTTTGATCTCTAGATTCAGCTATCAAACAAGATATTTGGACGTTAAGATTCTCGAAGAAATGCTTTTATTGTCATTATGAATATAATAAAGCTGATGATGACGATCTGACTCAGTCTCTAAAGTATTGAAAATGCAGAGATTCATCGGTGTGCGAGATAGCAGATTCAATCGCGATGTTGTTTATGGAAAAAAAAAGAGCTTAACGGTATGCAATGGCGAGGAAAATTAAATTTTTCAATATACTAGCAACGCTGGTTCGCATGACGACATTGGGCGCTTGAGGACGAAATGAATAAGGGGGATGGGGCTTCGACCTAGTTTCTTATTCAAAACGGAAAGAGCATAAGTGTTACGTATAATTAAAGACCTTTTAGTTACGCAAGCGCGCCCTGCTCCTTTCCACAATGCTTTTGGGTAAAAAGCAAACTTTTAGTCTTAGTCGGCGTCCTCCTCACAGACCACAAAAAAAAAAAACTATTAAAAAACGACTTATTATTGGGGAATTAAGGTGGTAATAGTGCCTTTTTACAGATAGCTTTATTCCATTATCCTATAGCCTTTTAAAGAGATAAAAAGCTGGCCCTTGTAGGATGCCTTTCATTGCGTAATACGGCGTTGACCATTTTATTTTTCTTTTATTCCTTTTTTATTAAATTCCAATATATATATATATATAATATATATATATATACATGTATATATGTTTTTAGCGTGGTTTAAACATATCTGCACTATCGATTTATGCAATGGCTTAACATAATGTGCTAGACTCATAATAGGATTAAAGAGACAACTGCAGTTTAAATGCAAAGCATCAATAGATACTTTGAAGAAAGTTTTAATTAAATGAGCCCCAGTGTATGTGGCTGAAAGTTATAGTAATCAGAATGTTCTTGTCACTCCTTTACCCCCTCATTTCTTTTAATTAGAGCTCGAATTTCTATTTTTTTTTAAAGAACAGTTCTTCTTTGTGAGTTGTATTGCAAGAGGACAATTCGGTAGGAGCACAAATTTTAGGGGCCCATTCTAGCAAAAGCATGCTTTCTCCCCCTCTAAATGCAGAAACTTCGTAACATTCTAATTCTCACCGGTGCTGGAATCTCTGTCGAGTCCGGTCTCTCCACCTTTCGCGATAGCAATGGTCTCTGGTGCAATCATCGAATCGAGGATGTCGCCACGCTTGAGGCGTTTGCGCTTCAACCTGAGGTGGTGCAGCGCTTTTATAATGAGCGGCGGCGGAAATTGCAGGAGGCGTGCGTGAAGCCCAATGCGGCGCACTACGCTCTCGCGCGACTTCAGCGGGAGATGAAGGGAAACGTGCACATCGTCACCCAAAACGTGGATAACCTCCACGAGCGCGCGGGCTCGACGGACGTCGTGCATATGCACGGCGAATTGCTAAAAGCTCGGTGCCGATTCACGGACGAGGTCTTCGACATCGTCGGGGATATCGATCCTGCGAAGGATCGCTGCACGTGCTGCAACGAACTCGGCACCCTACGCCCTCACATCGTGTGGTTTGGTGAGATGCCTTTGTTTATGGAAAAGATCGAGGAGCTCCTATCCAAGACGGAGCTTTTTGTATGTATCGGGAGTTCCGGGCAGGTCTATCCCGCGGCGGGGTTCGTAACGCGGGCGAGGTTTGCTGGGGCAAAGACTCTGGAAATAAATATCGAAAAGACTGGTGATTACAATGACTTCAGCAAGACGTTGATCGGAAAGGCAAGCGAGGTCGTCCCAAAATGGGTTGATAGTATGCTGGATGGATCCTTCGTGTAGGACATTGCACCACTGACCACTGTGGAAAGGCAGAGAACATGAAAAATGATGGTAGGGGTTAAGATATAGTAGAAGCGAAAAGAAAAAATCTTGCAATCTGAATTTATTACCTGTGGTTTCCACCTTTTTAATTACGATATCTCTCTAACAAGTTGATATGGTACTTCCTCAAAGTATTTTTTATTATTAAAGGTATTTATAGTATTTAGTGATTAGATCTTTCAATCTATCTCAACAAAAAAAGACAAAAGTAAACCTATTATCTGAAAAATGCTTCGAAATATAATTCGGTTTCTGGGGCTTTCGCTCATCCTTTCGATATTTGTTGTAACGAGCATTAACAGTTTCTTATATCCTTACCCCGCTGGTGCAGTTCTGGCAAAAAGCAACCTTCCATTTATCCTTTCCTGGTTTGATATTTCTTTAACTGGGTCCCAGTACGTTCACTTGGCGCAAGCTAATGGCGCCGTAATTTTCGCCCTATCACTCTTTATCATTCTGGGTGTGGGTCGGAGTTTTTTCTCCTTTATGCTTGCATTGCATACCATTCTTATGGCAACGCTATATCACGTTGATATGAGAGACCCAATCGCGACTTCAGAAGGAGATCGAATCCAGATCACGCGATATTTATCACACGCTGGAGCGCTTTTATTTGTTTCTGCTAGCAGGCAAGGATACAAATACGTCGCACGTTACCGCACTTCACCGGTGGAAAGATCAAAAAAGGAAAATTAGTTTTCCAGAATTTCTGTGTGTCATCAATGTAGATAGCTGAAGACTTTAGATACACCAAATATCAGATCAAATGAATATAACATTTTTCTGTCGTTTGTTAAGCAATGGTTTGGCCTAGCATTAGGCAGTCTCATCGGATGCCGCTTGTGCGTGCAAGTGTATATGAATTAAGTCATCCTAAAAGGTTTCCTTTCAGACTTAATTATAAAGTTTTTTCATGCGTAGATATCTTTTTATGCTCTTGATGTAATAACTAAGTCCTTAAAGTATAGTCTTAGTATTTTGGCTTGATCACTCCGAAGGGTGGATTTATCAGAATGCTTAATTATTTGATTCATCTTTTGGCCCAACTTTCATTGAGTATTTATCTATCTATCTATCTATCTATATATATATATATATATATATACATGTTTATATATATATT